TCTCAGCACCAACAAGAGAGTGACCATCCTGTCCTCCAGCTTTCGGTGTGTGTCGGCATTGTTTCCGTTCTGAGCTACACGGTGACAGATTTGTATTGGTAAGTTGATTGCTCAGTGTTACATTGTCTATATGTGGCCCGGTGCCTAATGCCCTTATATGTATTTCGATTGGCAGCATTTTACGATTTTCGTGCCACATTTTCCTCACATGTTGGGCCATCCGTTGGGAGTGTAACGATACTTGCATCACTCGGGGACCACACCGTTTGTAGTTAGGTGGTAGCGGTAACCTTGATGTGAGGGTAATTCACGAGTGAGGGTGCTTCACGTATAAAACGCCATTCATTCTAGTCATGCGCTTTGGCCTCTAGCTGGCTTAATATCTGCAGCTCGGGGACACCGTGAACAAGGATAGATTTTGCATCTTGTTGTTTACGGAAGTCATCTGGATTTTGTTTGCCTTTCTGACGTTCGCTCCAAGGAACATCTGGAAATATTCGAACAGTGCATGTGGTGGTACGGAGGAGAATGGCTGACAAGAGAACTGCCTCTGCATCAGTACCTGACTGAAGTGTTACCTGGAGTAACCGCGGTTCACCATAGTGCACGGAGTTTGCGTGACGGACGAGAAGCATCATACTGATTGGTTTAGCTTGAACCCCTATTAGTTCACACAAAGAGTCCTACTGTTTCTTTCGTCTAGTAGCTTATATCTTATGGAGTTCGCCCGGGATTCAGTCACATTAGAGCATATAACAGTTAGAGAATTATGCTGGTGTTTCATGTTCTCCTTTTTGAAGGGACCAGTGGCTGCTTTCTTCGGTTGAACAAATGATGGGGTCGTGAGTCCCGTGGTGGTATTAGCCGTATTAACTCGTTTGGCAGGGGACGGGGTTGCATTGGGAGGTGTTTCCGTCATATGGGTAGCAACAACGGACGCGTACATTGTCGGCCCTCTAACAGCGTTTAGTGTGGCGGATGATTCTTTTGAGGAATGTGTGGCGAACGCATCTTTATTAGCAGGCGCTAGTGTCGGGCTGGCTAATTCTGGATAGTTGTTCTTACACTGTGCTGAATTGGAGCTTGATGTTGAGCATCGAGTTCGAGGCTCTGATTCGTCTGGTTCATGTGGGACAGCTTTCACGGCTGCTGCCTTCTCTGCAATGTTTGTCAGCCAACACAGTTATACATCTGACGAGTGGAAGAGACGTACACCCAGTGCTGAACCAGAGAGGATCAGTCGTACTAGTAAGCTTTTTTTATCTGACTGAGACTAAGGCGAGCACCTCGAAAATGGAAGTATTTTCGGCAGTTTCTGCATTCTCTTCCAAATCGCACAAGTTTTACATAGCTGTCTACGCCACAACTAACGTTTATTTCGGAAGTTTTGGGCTTAGCTTTCCGTGGGCAACCAGTACGTGCCATTCTGACTGTCAGATCTGCGGAAGCCGTTCGTTGCAACGTCTGCACTGGTATGCTGAATCCAAACGCCGTCGGTCAAGCTGGTGGTCTGGCAGATACCTGTTCGATTGCTGTAGTACAAATCCAAGATGGCGGACACAGACGGCAGTTGAGCCAATCAGTGAGATCACTGACAGCAGCCGGAGAATATCCACCAAATTCGCACAGATGGAAAATTACACCGAAAACAAAGTCTAGGTGCAAAATTCACATAGAGCGTAGGTAACCGATGAATTTTGCGCCAGCCCCTTAATTTCGCTTGGCTTAACACGAACTTCTACTTTTCAATTGGAGCCTTCTGTTTCGGTTGATTTTACCTAATGGGCAGTTTTTTCTTTGCCAAATCATTTTATGCATTTGCTACAGGTACTATTCTTGTTCCCGATGTCACTACATTCGTTGGTGAAACTCCGGTGTATTCGGATTGACGCATTAAATCTAGTGGGTTTGTATCCGTTGTTCGGGATCATCTTCCAAGTTGCATTTCAACACATTTGGTAACTGCTTGAGTTTGGTAATTTACAGTATGTCAGCTCATCTTTTCTCCTTTAAGGGACTGCACGTTGCTTCTTTGGAGCTTACGTTGCTCACATGATTTCCACCATAAAGCATGAGCCCATGTACCAATCGCAAGGCAAGGAAGCTGTGTTGTAGAGTACGACACTTATCAGGGAGGTTATGTGTAATTGCGCAAACAGTGCATAGTTCGCTTGCATCAGCGGCTGTACACAATACAAATCATCAGTCGAATGATCAAACTGCAGAGACCATATTTGACCTACTCGCGGTCATATGACAAATACACGATTACCGAACCCAGCACGGATTCCAATCGGATTCGTGTGCACAACAACCGGTAGGACCAGTGAGAGTTCGTGAGTATCGGCAGATGGCACTCGATAAGAAAAGCTTACTTCAGCTACCCATCGCATCATTGTCGGATATTGTCTGGCCTAATGATCCCCAGATGCCCTCAGATCTATGGAACAAAACTGACATGCTGCTGGCGCACCGAATATTTACACCGCCTAACCGCAGCAAACAACTGAGGTGGGCAGTATGATATTAGGCCATATTCTCTTTGGATCCTCCTGAGAGTACGAGTACTTTGGAATTGTCTCGGCTTGATAATGAGTAGGCGGAGTCGGTTCAGTTGATTTTGAACAAACGACTGGAATTGGTAGGACAGAAGTGCTTCCTCTGTAGAGCAAGTTTACCACGAAGCCCAAGCTTGTTAATCAACTCACACCGTTACTGTTCGAAGTAGTACCGAGTTAGCTAAACACTTTTAGCATTCAAACTGTATCTACTGCAATGTCGGTAGGATTTCTTCTGCTCCCGTAAGCAATTAATGTTGGAAACATGATTTTACGGTAAGAGCTAGTTGGGGTCACTCCATCATCATCCAGTGCGGTAAGCGGTAACTGCCGTGTAAGACGGCAAGACGGTGTCCCATATTTTTGATGTGTGATAGGTTCCACTCGGAAATGGCTAAAACTACTGGTAGTTTCTCCCGTTCCAGTGATTATTGATCAGAAAGCTACTGCCTTAATAGCTTTCTGTATATTTTTCCTAGCTGTCTTATCAATGGAAGTGCAATTGAAGCGTACTTGGAATTGAGATTGATTTATGCTATCCGTTGAACATATTCGCTACCACAAAATGAGCTCCAGTAACTCGATAGCCAAACTTTGCTGATGCTTGTACAGACCGTTCGGAAACGCATGATATATGACACCTCTGTAGAAAATAGTACACCGAATGAGTAACGTAGGCGAAAAGAGGAGACCGCGATTCATTGTGTCCCTGATGTCCGGCATTTCCTTGATCACGAAAAGTCCACCGATACTGTTGCTTCATGATGAAAAAGTTCCATGGAGTAAACCCCTGTCGCGTATAAATGGACGATAAGTTGGCACGCAAGCAACGTTGCATGTAGTGTTTAACACAATTTAGATCGACGCTTCGCATTGTAAGCGCTTGAAACCCGGCAGCAGGATAACAACAAAGTGCTTACACAAAGTTCATTAACTAATTCTTGAATATTTCTTCATGTGCTCACGTACGCAATACATATCATTTCCGACCTGATCAATCTGGAGGAAGCGCAAGTCATTCGGTCTACTCGCGATATACCATCGTACTGCTTTTGACTCACGCATATCCAGCACAACGTTATGAGTCCAAACTGTCCTGGAGGTCAAATCAGAGGGAAGGCTTTAAAACCTTTTGGAGCCAACCGAGAGTCCGGCGCATGAAATGGATCACTTTCATGACACAAACTTTCAAATGGCAGACTGTTTGGGTCTGCTAAACATGGAAAACCCCAGAATCAATTTTTATAAAAAAGGAACAAGCGAATGTACTTATTTCCCCGCACTTCCCATTCTTGTCAAAATAAGGCCCACAGGGGCTGACATTGTTTAGGTTGAACATATTTCACCTGATTTTATCTACCGAGCCAATGGTGTATTTGGTCTTCGTCAGTCGATATACAGTTGCGTTTGGTTTCCGATTGAAACGCATACTTTTTCAGTTATATCGCCATTCATGTGTTGGATACTCGCCCAGAATTTATAGGGATGCTATGTAAGCTCGCACCGTGCAAACCGAAAAGAATGCGATGATATTTCTTAAATGGGCGTCTTCGGAATACCATCTAAGGGCAATTGCACACTCATTCCTTGATCTGCGTTTAGACTGGTCGAGGTTATACGCAAATATATTTCGACTAAAATGTGTCTACGTATAGTAAGGAGTGCTGCATCTTTCGTCAGGTTTATAAACATGGAATTCACGAAACCTGTGAATCCTTGGCTTTTTGCCCATCTTGTACCACAGTTGCATTATCTCATCAGTCTAACATCTTAAGTTGAAAATATTCGGCTTAATCCCACAGTAGTGTACACATTCGTAAAGAGTGCACAGTTGTCTAGCACCGAATAATGGTGGCTCAGAGAGCGATTTCGAGCATTTTCTTACTTCGATCGCGTTCGACGTTACTCTCCGAGTCTGACCTACTATACGATCCTATGAATGCATGCAGCGAGAGGCATTACTTTCCAATCAACAACTATGGAAGCATCAAAGATGCTATTGCGCAACACGCATTACAAGAAAACTGTATGAACTCTTTAGGTGTCCCTTAATCTTGCCGTGTTAAGTACTTTGGTGCCTAATATTTGAATGAAATGGACGATGATTATAATCGACACCAGCAACAACTTGATCTATTACTTTGTTATCATGATCGCATAAGCATAGAACACGCGCTAATCGGCGCAAACTTTTTCTGCTTGTTGCCCGTGAAAAGAAGCCATATAATAAGCTACTGTACACTGAACAATAGTAGAACACGCAGCCAACCGTAGTAGCTGCGTCTTATTGGCAGAAACTAGGCAAACAAATCTAGTCAGCGCGGTGACACTTTGGCAGTATCAAATCAGTCAACATATAGGAAACACAGCAAGAATACTGATCGCTTTTATACGCGAACTCACTATCCTGACCATGTTATTGTTTTGTTAACCTTTATCCAGATTCAATATGCTCGGTTAAGAAAAGAACTGCAGTCGTCTATGCGAAACATCGTTCTTCAGGAAATGCAAAAGTGAGCCAACGTCTCTAGGTACTTTTTAGTAATTGACGGTGCGGCACCGAACATGTAATGTCCGTATTTTGGGACAGCTCCATCAGTGCACTTCTACGTTTTCTTTGTCACTTCGGTAGCGACAAATCCCGTTGGTATCCTTTTAACCTTCATTAGTAAACAGTGATGTCTCGAGCTTTTATCTAACATGTTGTTTGCAAATGATGACGATACTTAACGTCAATATTTTTTGAAATACCCTTTGTCTTTCCATAAACTGGGACAATGTTGTGTTCTGCTTTCACTCTTGCTGTGAACCAGTGTGATCCCCCATTCCTTCGCCTTATAGCTCCAGCCGATTCACTCTATCAAGGGCTAGCTAATTTCTAAAAGGTTGGAACGCAGACTTGAGATACGCAGCCCGGGGGCTGCATACAGCTGTTTGCAAGCACCCCTGCGGCCCTCATGAAAGATACTGTAGTTTGGTCATTAAACGGCCACAATTGCAATTTTTAGGTTATACTGGATAAACATGTGTCCACCAGGGAAAGCGACATAATGTTCTTTAGTCAGTATATCTTTTACGCTTTGAAAAGCTAATCACCTCTAAACGATTTTCGAACAAAACATAAACTGGAATGCATCTGCGAAGCATGCAATTTATGACTCACAAATAGATATGTGGATCAGATTGCAAAGTGCAAACCGACTCCCATTGTCAACACTATGGGCTTATCCGTCAATGCCATGACGCAAAAAGAAACACCTGGACTATTCCCACTGTGATTGAGCCACCTGAGGTGACATCACGAACTGTTACCGTAATGACACCTTGGCTCAAGTCTCGGGTAACGCGGTTATCGGCCTGTTTGCTATACTATCCTACTCCAATTGCACACTGATTCACCTGGTCTGACGAAACTCTCGTGTCAAGAGCGAAACGTTACCGAAATGCTACATTAACCGATTGGTTCCAAACCTCTCTGAACTAATGACTACTCCATCGCTTACAAGTATCTCCTAAGAAATTTCATGCAGGATTTTCCCTTCCAAGAATTTGGAATATGTATGTCTTTTAACACTCCACATATATGCCGTAAATATGTACGGATCAAGCCTCTCCCTCTAGAATTTGATTGGTGACACCAGTCAGCATGTGCAGATCATACCTATCCCTCGGCGATCTAATTGGTTGCGGGTCGTGCACGCACTGCTTGGTGTGTACCGATTGTATATATATATGTGTGTGTGAATGCACTAACTCCACGAGAACCGATATCACCTCCGTTCTGTCGTGCAACTGTTGTCGCTGTTTGTGACAAAGTGATTGGAATGGTTTCTTGACAAATAATGAACATTATTCAGATTCCAGAGAATCTTTATGATGGTCAGCACAATCCCAGTTAAGAGAAAAAGGACAGTGCACGAAGGTCAATCGTTTCAATAAAATAAGAATTACAGTATTTTCTCACAGCAGTGAATAGAAAGATGCCTTGAGTAATTTGCAACAGCCGAAAGAGTACATGTTGAAAAGACAGTATGCAAGAACCATCGACCTTAGGATAAATAGGAAAGTGTAGTGCAGGTCACAAAACGCAAGGAATCGAAGAGTAACTTGAGACAGCAAGAGATCTGTTTTATAAAATTGGGAAAGTGAATGTGACTTGCGTTACTAAAAACTCTAAACTAAGCCAAGTTATCGCCCTGAGTGGTAAATCTTACAGTTTAGGAGATTTCTTGAGGCTGTGCCTTGTAAAAACGGCTGAACTTGTGTGTCCAGAGAAAGCGCAGATATTCAAACGTATTTCATTAAACCACAACACTTTTGCTGAACGAATTGATGAGATATTAATTGTTTCGAAACAACTGCTGAAGACCACATTATCTGGTTCTTAACATTTTTCCACTGCTATTGATGAGACCATTGACGTCACTGAATTATCCCAGCTTGCGGTTTTCATCAGAGCATGTGACAGTGAATTTAATATTTATAAAGAACACATTGAACTGATTCCAATGCACAACACTACAACAAGCGAGCACATGCTTCAGAAAGTAGGTAAGTTTCTGCGTGACTATGAACTGGATTGGAGTAAACTTGCATGCTTATCAATCGATGGTGCTGCGATTACGGTTGCTAGACACAATGATGTTGCTGCCATGTTAAGTACAGAAATGGTAAAATCGCACCCAGATTTATCATATGCACATTTACACTGCATTCTTTATCAGAACAATTTGTGTTCAAATGTTTTAACATTAGATAATGTGCCCAGTTGTGTCACACAGAGAGAGTGAAGTATACCAGAGGCCGCGCTCTCATCTACTGTCAGTAGAACTAGTTGTTGTGCGACATGGATAATCAGTGTATCGATGTCCCATTCTACACAGAGTTCCGTTCAGTTCAGTTGATCAACTATGAATCACGGGCAATGCTGATCTTCAGCAAAGCAAAGATTCCCATTTCATTAATATGAATCAATATCAGAAATCATTTCAGGGTAAAGAATTCTTTTCGGTAAATCTCATCAGATCCAAACTTTTACATAACAGTGATTGTGGATATAGCGTCAACTGGACGTCAGCTTACCTACTTAACTACCTTGTATTAATGAGAATTGTGTACATATGTTTATTTAGTTTACTTGGTCTACCATCTCTATCTCTGTCTCAAGTTATCGATTTTGGTCATTCAAACAGTCAAGAAGTCAATCCCAGCCCCAGTTGACGCTATATCCACAATCACTGTTATGTAAAAGTTTGGGTCTGATGAGATTTACCGAAAAGAATTCTTTACCCTGAAATGATTTCTGATATTGATCAACTATGATCAGAGCACCGAAGTGCAATGGATCCAACTGTCACGACTCACACCGTAGGAATAGCAATAAATAACAACGGTAGAACTGTGGGTTGGATACAAATAGAATGTAGAGAAAACTAAAGCAAGTAGGAAATCATTAAGCTAATCAGAATGGAGCGAACTTTACTAACCAGATGAGCTAAGCCGAATGTAGGAACCCCACTGACTTCGTGAATGCGTCATATCTGACAGAGTCTCCAACCATTGGTCCCGAGGACCCATCCAGGAAGACGGCACGCATCAGCTTAATCAAGTCTCCGTCAATTTTTTCGAGCTTCTATGCGATGTCATGGACTGGCTACCGTGAGATTTCGCCCAACTTGGTGCAGTCACGGCGTGTAATGTACGCCGAAGAAGCCGTTCAACGGCCATACGGAGGACATGACCGAGCCAGTGCAAGCGGATAAGCATTTATAAAGCACTCGAGAGGCACCAAATTTCTTGCTAATAACCAACTCGTTGACCTGAGCATCGCTCAGCTGGTGTTCCCATCACACGTGTGCAATGCTTCGCAAGTACCGATGGTTAAAAATGGCCAGGCGTTTAATGTCTTCCTTGCGAACTGACAATGTCTCCAATCCACACAGTAACACAGGTCTTATCGCCGCATTATCCACCTTACCTTTCATTGGCAAGCCGATATCTCACCATCTCCTAGATGGTTGAGCTTCTGGATAGCCACACGGGCCATGCAGATACGCGGAATAACCTCCTCAGTGATGTAACAACCAGAGTTGACACAGCTACCGAGTAAGTGAACCGATCCACCACTTCGAGTGACTGTTCGAAAATAGCTATAACCGGAGGTGTGGCGGCCCAGTGCTGCAACATCACTTTGCACTCTGAAAGTGAGAAGTACATGCTGAAGCGTGATTCTACACCAAAGTCCGCTGGTCATCATTATCATAATACACGTTAGCTAGAAATAGAAAACACCTCAGCTACTGTGCAGCAAAACATAAAAAATAAATAGAAACATATAACAGATGCCCACCGGCTTAGCTACCAGTAACAGATGGGCATCGTCCCAGAAAACTACCAGCCGTCTACTATGCAGTAAAAAATTATTATGTAAAATTTATGTTATGTTAAGAAATGAGACTGCTGTTGAAGGTGGAGGCTAAGCGAGAGGGAGAAGCACAAAGAAACCCGCAACACAAACGACACTGTGGTCGGCTCCTCTTCTTCCATCCACACCCCGGCGGGCAAACAACGCACAACACGGGATTCGGTGGGCTGGAATGCGCAACACCTGGTCCAGTCATCGGAGCCCGGTGCGTGCAATAATGCTGCTGAGCGGTTCATTTCCTCTTCCTGTGCCATAAACACGCTCGTAGCTCACGTAGTTTTCCCACCAGACGTGAGCCAAACTGCAAAGGCACCGGTGGTCCAAAATAACTAGTTTCTTTGTGTCTGCTGTTCTAATGGGCCAGGTTCCACAACCGTACACCATATTTGAACGTACCACTGCACTGCGCACACTACCTTTCAGGGCAGGAGTCACGTTGCGCCGGTGCCATAGGTGGTGGAGCTTAGCAGAAGTGTTTCGAATTTTCGCTATACGGTTCCTGATCTCGTCTTCAATCCCACTGGTTGTCATGTCACAAGCTTTTGAAGTGGTTTTATTTGTTGAGACAAGAAATAGTAATTTTCTTAGAGATGAAAGATCAAAAAGGTCAAAACACACATAACATAACCGATGCCATTTAGCTCCACGATTTGGCATTCACTGTGAGCTTTACTGCTCAATAAAGTGATTTTAATTCGAACTTGCAACACAGCAACCAATTCGTCACTCGTTTGTATGATGACCTAAAGTGCTTCGTTACAAAGCAAATCCTATGGAAGTCACAGTTGCTGAAAGCCCATTTAAAGCATTTTCCTTACTTCAAACGACGGTGCCAATATTGAATCTGCGCTTTGCTTTGTGAAATATGACAGTCACCTGGAATGGTTGTCAAAATAATTTTAGGAAGGATTTTTGATTTCTCATTTGGTGAACACCAATTTTCATCATTCTCAGCATCATTCATCTTTGATGTTTCTAAGGCAGAAGAAAGCCCGCAGATGGAACTACTAGAATTGCAGTCTGGTACGACACTCCGATGAAAGTACCTTGGAGTGGGAGTGCCTGGTTTTTTTCGTACCTCCCTGAAAAGTCTGCTACATGGATTATACTTATGTTCGGTTCTACCTGTTTATGAGCAGTTTTTCCTTTATGTAAGTATTAAAATATCAACGAACACGGCTGACTGTTAAACACTTGTCATTTCTGATCAAAGTCTGAACTGCAAAGACCTTTCAGCCGGATATATCAACATTTTTGCTTAAAAACCGGTTTTAAACCTCAAGCAAAAACAATAAAAATATTCATTTACTACTGTTGCAAAAGTTGTACAATGTATATGTTGCTGTCGTGTATAAGTCTATGCTACTGTTAAAAAAATTTTGGTTATCATGTTAAACTACTTCATTACCTTGCATTCACTGATGTGTCTAGCCGACAAATCATGTTCACGCAAATCATGCCACGAAGCTGAAGTAAATAAAATATTGTGTTCCTGTTATAATATATGATTGGCGATATCCGTGTCCGGATTTACCTTTCCCTGCGGCATCCATCGCAGACCCACTGGATACCTGCGCCTACTTAGGGACCATAGGTGCCTTGCGCTGCACCACCCACAGCTCCATCCACACACCCCATATCCGGTGTAAACCCGAAAGAATAAGACCGGGTGGCGTGCAGATGGGAGCCACGTCACATCAACTGAACCGGCCCACACTCCTATAACAAGCAGAACAAAAGCATTCATGCCTAATTAGGAAATCATATGTACCAGATGTACTTAAGTCCCTGGCTGGACTGCAGTCCGCTCCATACAGTGTGCGTGGAACCACTGCTTGTGCCTAGCAAGGCCACGAGAACCGTGCATCCCGTCCACCCCCAGCAACAATTAACAGTCTCCTGTAGGCGCTAATCGAGGTGGAGGGTACTAAAGAGGTAAGCACTTTGTCAACATTCACATTAAGTTCCTCCACACTGTGAATATCAAACGACAGTCAATCACATGAAATGACAATATAAAATAATAAATATCGAATAAAGCATCCGGCTATGTTGATATAACTCATCACTAAAATAGCGAAGGCGATACATTGATTATCAACAAGTTCGCGATAAATTTAAGATGTCAAAAAAAGTTATCAAAATCCAACGAACGCGAAAAAATTAACGAGGTTAACCACCTTTCCTTTAAGCGACGTGTGCAAGTAAATAAAAGATCATTCAGTTATACATTGAAATGGAGTAACAAAAGAAGCATTAAGACAATATAGCAGACAAAGCACCAGAAATAAAGAAACGCAGCACAGAAGAACGCGGTTTGTAAGTTGAATGGGAGCGCAGGCAACGTACCTACCAAAGCTGCACGGGTCCTGCTTACGTTCTCAGCAGGACTCGTTGCTGGTACCGAGTGGATTTGCTAGTGCCTCAATGGGCCTGCCTGACTCAGACATCTGCGACCGCATGAGCTACAGCACCATGCCTTCAACGTCGATGGAGTACACTCCGTCTGCGCTTGCCGCTTTTTCCGATTACATGATGGCTTCCTCCTGCACCTAGACAACTGTCTTCTTAATGTAATCACGCCATGCACGCTGATCAACCGCCTTCGACACCCAACACCTGAAATCTACATTAGAACGTGATAGGCTCACTTGAATCATGTCCTGGTAACGAAGCTTAGGTTTCCCCACATGCCATCTTCCCAGACTCAGCTGACCATATAACAGCTGCTTCCGTATCCGCGTCGAACCCATACGCCACACATGACCGAGCCACCCCAAGTGTCTCAGCAAAAGTATGCTGTCCACTGCATACATTCCACTTTGGCGCACCACCTCCGTGTCTGCAACTCTGTCGCACCAACGGATGCGCAGCGCTCGTCACAGACACTGTTGATGGAACCGTTCGTGATACCTCAAATCTCGCCAGTACATCGTCCACGTTTTGCTGCTGTATGGAAGAACGGACAGCACCATGGATTTGCACACCATCAGCTTCGTGTCAACGGTAAGCCGGTGGCTGTTCCACACTCGTTACTCAAGCTTCAGAAATACTGCCGCTGCCTTCGATATGCGGATACGCAGCTCACTATGTAGCTGCTGGTCAGTCGACACCACACTCCCAAAGTAGTAGAAGCCAGAGGTAGTTTCCAATACGTCAACACCAATGCTGATTTGTGGCACTATTGAAGATGGTAATTCCGGTGAAGGTTGAAAGAGACGGACAGTATTGCTTGTGTTGATACTGAGACCGAATTTGGCGGCTGTCAAAGCCAGTGCAATACTCATATGCTGCAACTCATCCGCGCTGTGTGAAAACAACGCACAGTCGTCTGCGAACAGCAACATTCGGATAGTTGTCTCACAGACTAGGGTTCTCGCACCGAAACGACGGATGTTCAGCAAACCACCATCAACATGGTGCTCCACACGAACACCTTAAGCACAAGCCGCATCATACGCACACGACCTCATGGCATGAAGATAAATATTAAATAGGGCAGGAGCTAAGACGCAGCCTTACTTCACACCAGAGACAACTGCAAAGTCATCCGATATCTGTCCACTCAGCTGCACCCTCGCCCGCATACCACTCTGCAGACATCCAATTAAGCTTACAAACTTACTCGAGCAACCACACTTAGCCAACACCAGCCACAATGCGTCGCGGTTCACCGTATCAAATGCCTTAGTGAAATTAACAAAAAGCGAGTACGACGACTGGTGTCGTTCTCGGCAGTTCTACTGAAACTGACAAGCCGCAAACACCATGTCTATAGTGTTGCGACCCGAACGGAATCCACACAGCTGTTCCGCCAAGTTCAGTTCCACCAGCTGACTGACGAGGCGGTAGAGCAGGATTCGGGCAATCGCCTTGCCCACATAACCGCAAGTTGTTGTCACGCTAATTCATGCACCACTGCTTGCTTCCTTTGCTCTTGCACAGTGGAAGCACAAGGGCATCCTTCAGCTCCGGAGGCATCTCTTCCTCAAACCACGCGCGCTGCACCAACTGGTGCGTTTACCACCGGATCCTACATGTAGGTGACTTCCTCATACTAAGGCCACTGCTTCACTTGCGAACGTTTTGCAGCACACGCGGACACCAATACAAGCTTATGGTTAAAGATATGAAGAGCGTTCCCATCCCCTGTGCTTGGAACAGCGAGTGGTGAATGTTTGGAACGGTTTACCGGAACAGATAGGGGAAGCGAACTCATTGCAGCTATTCAAACGATTATTGGCTGTGGATTGCTTAATTATTACCTTCCGTGAATGGTTACTCACAGGCGTCTCACATTTTTGGGACTTAATACCCTTTTGAGTTAAAGGATCTTTTTAACCATATAACCTGAAGTTGAAAAGCGATCAGCGTATTTGCAACTCATAGTCTGCTTTTTAACCTTATGATCATATTTCGGGGGAGTTGTACAGATTTACGTTTCTGCTTGCTCCCCCAATACAGTATTCAGTATCTCGCTAGCTAAACAATCGCTTTATTAAATCTCGGTCAGGTGTTTGTACCGTACGCCCCTCCTGTTGCGGATACACTTGTGGAAACTCATTGCTCAAATGGTCATGTTATGCATAACGGTCAGTAACATGAGTTCATCAACTGTCGTAGGGTCTCACAATGTCTAATTTTTAGGAACTAAGCCAACGTACCAAGTGTGACTACGCCTACGTTTTCTTCCCTCCTACTGGCCTCATTCAGAAGCCTATTGCTGAACTAGCCGCAGTGTCTGCACTGTCCAGTTCCCGATGCAAACGACACGGACTTGGCTAGCCCAAACCGCGGGTTCGTGAAACAGGTTGCAGTTGTTGTAGACACTTTTGTTGTTGCTACTATTACAGCTGTGACTACTTCATATATACCTACACGGTGTTTTGTCCGTTATACGTAGGCGTCAAGTTCGCTTTCGGCATCGAATTGCCTTGCTATTGGGCTTACCACAAACAGTTTTCGGATGATATATCCTGTAATTAGGTGGTTCGAACAAACTCTATCGTTTTATGTTTCGCATAGGATCCTCACAACAGCTCAACAGTTACGCGATCAAGTGCTAAGTTTGCGCGAGATTGTTAAAACCCAAGAAAGGATGATTGCCCGCAAAGACCAAGTGATAGATGACCTGATGGCCGATTTAAGACGAGCAAACGAAAAAGCCGAAGCGAGTATTGAAGCAAATAGGATGAAAACTAAGGCAAGTCTCCTTTTTCTGCTTTTTTGAAATGCCACACTGTATGGTCTTGTCTCAATGCACCCTATTCCCTTCTATCTACGAATTTGGGTTCCATGCCGAAAATCCACTAATGTTTACCAACCTAGTAGTAGATCTGACAAAATTATGTGTTGGTTACGCATACAATTAAACCAACACATCGACCTCAGTAATGGAACATTGATGACAGGCAGAATATGATATCAACTCTGGGGCATTTGTCATTCAATGTGCGCCGCTCAATCCAGTAAAGTTGGAGTTTTCCAAATGGATCTTGTAAATCGTGAGAGACATTCACATCCTCTTTGTGTCGGGCAAATGACGCTCTTTCTAACCTCATATTTCCTCTGTTACATTAGCAACTCGTGGAACATGTTATTGACAAATGGTGGAGTAGACGCCTGCTTCAACGAGCGCTCATCGCCTGGAAAGCTTATCTAAGCGGAACGTGGAAAAATCGTTTTCTACAGCGTATGAAGTCAGAGGCCTACGCCGAGTGTGACCGCCTGAAGAAGGATAATGAAAATACTACCAAACACGTTCGTTAATGGCTTTTTTTGAGATTTTTCATTGTCCGTTTATTTGCAAACGTTTACCTTGCAGTAAGGTTTTGCTGGTGACAACCTTCCTCTCCGATTAACCAAACAAGTAAATCATCTCGGTTGGCAGAAATGGAGGGAGCAGTGTGGTGCATGGACTTTCATCTTGGAAATGTCTACACGTTCCTGTTGCTGTGGTGTTTCTCATAACTCATTGGCCCTTTGCAGTATTTTCCAAGCGTTTGCAACAAGCACTTTAAAGTTACGCAGGAGCATCTGTGCCCCGTTTTACGATCACGCATCCAATGCTCAGAAATCGTGTCTACGGCCACCAGTACGAAGTTTCTTCCAGGCAAATTTTCCCAAACTATTCACTTAACGGCCCCCCATTTCGTTTGGGGCCAGCCAACAATCTGAAATAAATAGTCAGTCTTTCGAGTCTGGCGTGCCAACAAATGCCTGCTTATTTTGCATCATATAGTTCTTTGTTACTGGTTGCTTCCACAGAAAAAGTATATTGTCAAACGAGCTCGATGTGAACGCAGGACTTGCGTGTAGGGCTCTTTGACTTTATCAGTAACTCGATGCTATCCTGCTTGAAGCGAGTGAACGCATCAATAAGTTGTAATTAGTTGCCTCTTCCTCCCCATTGACATGGCGCGAGCAAAGGAGCTTGCTGGACCGATGGCTTAGGCTTGCCTGAGTGCCGTATGGTTGCAGATGATCTGCTCTAAGAGAAGTATGGTTCTTTCGTTAGGAGAAACTGAGAACCTTGGTTCCTATCACCATGACGTTCCGTAAGGACGGTTGCGCAACATAATTCGATCAGGAGCCAACGTAGTTGTCAATGGCGGTTGCTGGCTGAAGGAGCGTCCAAGCTTCATTCCACTGGGTCCTATGCATCTTTTGCTAATCTAGATTACTAACTAACGTCTGTTGAAAGTACTTGCCCCCTGGTGACCGGAAGCTATTCGTTTGCACATGTGCTTATATTTTTGTTGTGAAATCATGTAAAGTTCAGTAGCCCCTAAGCATGAGGTTAACGCATTTTTCACCTGATTCGTCCATTCAAACTTGCGGCGGACAGCTCGCTTATCTGGATCCTAATTTCTTGAACCGAATCGTCAAACTCGTTTGCAGCCGCCCAATTGCTACCGTGTTTCGCGATCTCCATTGCTTGCCAGACCCCGTCGATCGATCGCTTTTGAATGACATTATTTTGGGGGCAGATCTGCTTTCATGAATTCGTGTTACTGTTAGTGCCGGAAGGTGGATTTCCCTCAGACATAAACGTCGTGTACGCAGACTCACAGTCAGTGTCAGTCTCCCCAACAATGATGGAGATAGATACCTTCAGTCCGGATCTCCCAGCCACCACCTAGTCTTTGACTGCCTTGGTCTACATATCATTGCTTGTGTCCGGTGGTACCATGGTGTTTGCAGCAATGAGATACTCAACTGAGTACTGGGTGGCGAAGATTGGGTTTGGTCGTTAGACCAAAACTGAATAAGTTGCACCGGTTTGGGCACCTTTTATGTTTGACTTCTTATCGCTTACTGACGAAAGCGCTGCGTGATTTATCCTTTTTCGAAGAGATAGATTCCATGGGGTTATCCTTCTACCAATAGTGTGTCCTGTTTGATCTGTACTACGTTACGTTTCGGGTTATGCTGTCTACCATGTGCTTGGCATTCATCCTAACTAGCGCTGGTGTGGTTAGTGTCCTCTCATGTGCAGACCCCCTGGTTGAAGCCCATTTACTGTTAACTACGAATCCTGTGCAGCATTTCCAAAGCAGAAAAACAGTGACAAGCCACGTCCATGTTCACATGTCCATGTTCACATTGTAATGCCTATAATATCGGTAGGTTTCAGTTTGATTCGAAAGTCATGCAGCTAGGGACTAACAATCGCTTCACCAGCTGGCTTTAAACTCCCCAAAATTGGCTATGAAAGCCGACGAATTAGCCGCAGTGTTTTGGCGACTGATTGCTTTTATAAGAGGACTTGCAATTTCATATGGACTTCATTGTTTAAACCCACTCGCTGAGTAAGCGATGGGGTACATTTTTGGGCTGCTTTAGCACACTCAGAAAAGCGTACATCCTTTATGTTTTGAACGACGCCCTCCCTGTGCATCAAACTTTGAATGGCACCATCCCTAGCTTGTTTGCATAACATCAAAACTTGGACCAATCCGCTTAAGCTGTTTTGTTTGCGCACCTGCTGAGATTGGTTCAGTGCGTTTTTCCCACCGCTCTACAGAATTACCTTTCCGAGTGCTGTAGTTGGTTGATATGTCGCGCGTGAGTGAATTTAAATCACGTAAGTAATAGGTAGATATCAAATGGGCAAGTTGAATCCGTCACAGCTTGATGCAGTCAACGGCCAGCAAAAGTCCACAGAAGAGCTGAGAAGTCCATCGCAATGAGGCTGGACCTTACCGTGGTGCGATGGTTTGCGTGCCTCAGAGATCCATTGAGCTATACTGGGCGGTGCTTTTTTTGCACCTTTAGAGCCACTCATACCAGATTGGTCAATGGTTAGAGGCCAGACAAACTCAGCCTCCTGGTCCTCCAGGTTGGGGGTTGGAATGGGGGTGGCTCCTCATCTCATAAAACGGGCTCTGTAGTCCAATGCCAAAACCCGCTGCCTTGCGGTAAGGTTTTTGAACCAAGGGCTTTGGTTGAGAACCCTAATCGTTCTCCTGTCTAGGCCTGGGCAACCTGACAGTATTCTGCCCACGCAATACAATGAACCTTTCCTACAACAATTTCTTGATGCTCTGGCCGTCGCAGAGGATAATAAACGGCGCCCTATCTGCTGCATCGAGCAGGGTGGATAGGGGTTTGGATGCTACTGCTCAGGCCTTCCCGTCTTCTTATACCCCTTCTTGTGCTTCTGCATCCTTATTGTCCCGCTCCAACTTTACTTATATCCCCCCCATTTTCAATCCCTCAATTCTTGGCCCTCCCCCAGCTTACTTCAATAGTCGCTTGTCTTCTAATTTCAAATCACACACAATCGCAGGGCCTCGCTCCAATCCAGTCGACAAGTCCATGTTCAACCAAGCGGACAACGTCAGTTCATCCGTTTCCCTTTGGAGTCCTCGTGTCTCGCTAAGATTGGCATGCCTCAACGTGCGCACTTTGCTGCAGATTGGCCAACAGGCAGCACTTGCCCGCACATTAGAGACCCTATCGATCGATATTTGCTGTTTATCAGAAACCCGCCTGCAAGGTTCGAGCTCCGTGCTTACCCTGAGATCCCCCACATGCGACACTGGCGGCACATTCTCATTGCGCCTATCTGGCGATGATGCAGCTTCAAATGCCGGTCAAGCTGGCGTCGGCATTGTTTTGAGTCCCCGGGCTGAAGCTGCCTTGCTTGATTGGATCCCAGTAAACAGTAGAATGTGCGCCGTTAGATTAGCTGGTTCGTTCCGTGCTTCGAAGTCGCGCGGGGACAAACGGTGCCTGTTTGTCATTGCGGCCTACGCCCCTACAAACTGTAGCACTGATTCGGTAAAAGATGATTTCTATCAGCAACTTCACGAGCTCCTTCGTTACAGAAGGAGTACGGATACTGTGGTGCTGGCTGGCGATCTAAACGCCCAAGTCGGAAAGTTGTCCTCTGATGAGCTTCATCTGGGCGGCCAACATGGTGTAGGCTCCCGTAATGATAATGGTGAGCGATTGCTCCAGCTGTGTGAAGATGCTCGCCTGTTTCTCGCGAGCACTAACTTTCGACACAGCACCCGCAGAAGTGTGACTTGGCGGCCACCAGCCTCGGGCCAGTCATGGACGCAAATCGATCATATCGCGATCAGTTACCGCTGGAGAGGCTGTGTCCAAAACTGTCGCTCGATTTGGAGCACGAGCGTGGACTCTGACCACGCACTTGTATGTGCCGACCTCTTGATGCGTTTCGGTGGACGTCCGCAACGTCGGTGTGAACGGATTGACACTAGCCAGCTTGCGAAGTCAGATGTTCTGAATGTGTACCAAGATGCGCTGACATCTGGGCTGAGTAAGCGCCCACTAAACACCGTTGAAGATCACTGGTCGCATACTCGTCAAGCGTTGCTGTTAGCAGGCATGTCTTCATGTGGCAAAACAAATTGCAAAACCGGACATTGGGTCTCTACACAGTCTCTCGAACTTATGGATGCTCGCCGACGTATTCCGGCTGGAAGCGTATACAATGAAGCACGCAAAAATCTCAGGGCGAAACTACGTGCTAGCCTAAAGAAGGACCGCGAAACCTGGTGGTCTCATCGTGCCTTTGAGATGGAAACTGCCGCTGCCATTGGTAATCATCGTGAGTTATACCGTCTGATACGGGCAACAGGCAGCAGAAGACCTGGTGTTAGCGAGACCATACGCGACGAGAGTGGGCAGATGATCCACAGCCTGTCAAAACGCTTGGAGCGTTGGGCTGAACACTTTGCTATGCAATTTAACCAACCTGAGTTATCGTTTTCTTCTTCGGGCATTGAGCGCCCTTCTCCTTGGGCCGTCTCCTTGGATCCGCCCTCACGCGCAGAAGTCGAATGTGAGATCAAGCTGTTGAAATTGCAAAAGGCCGCAGGAGCAGATACGATTCCTCCAGCCCTCTTCAAATTCGGTGGACCTGCTCTAGTAGATGATCTACACGAGTTGCTAGTAAAACTTTGGGAGCAGGAGACAGTCCCGACAGACTGGAACCGCTCCGTCATTGTCCCAATTTTCAAGGGAGGCTCCCGTTTAGAATGTGGCAATCATAGAGGGATCAGTCTGATTTCGATTGCCTCTAAATTGCTTGCCTCCTTCATTCTCCACAGACTGAGTGGCACTCGTGAAAGCCAGATGCGTGAAGAGCAAGCCGGATTTCGTCGAGGTCGGGGCTGCATCGACCACATCTTCACATTGCGTCAAGTGTTGGAGCACCGCCATGTTTATTGGCGACCCACCGTTGTCGTGTTTCTTGACATAAAAGGTGCCTTCGACTCAGTCGATCGATGTGCCCT